TGTGGATCCTGGAAAGCTCAAAAGGATGGGACCGGAAACCGGGGTTGAGATTTCCATCCAAATACATCGTCCTCTAAGAGTGCTAAGATGGCCGGATCCAATAGAGTTTAGGACCGTATAACACAGAAGAGCCCTTACGTGTTGCAGTGAGTGTGAGATACTCTGGTTACCATTTGTACAATCCTGTTCCATGCCCGACCTGTCAATATTCGTGTAGGGGTTCCTGGCCTACACGCCACCTACAAGATAGGGAATAATATAGTGAGACCCCTAGGTTCCTGTCTCATAGACTGTCCAAGCATGTATCTCCCAGTGTAGGTTTCCTTGATGGTAGTTGAATAGGAAGGCTAGTGAGAACCCAAATCAAGCAAAGCAGTGCCCGTTTGCCCTATGCAGGTCTCAGAATCTCATGTCACCCTGACACGGGAGAATAGTCTGCACAGTTTGTACACAATGAATATTTGAAACAGAGTGCAAAGTCTGTTTGATATAGCAGAGGTTTTACCAAAACCTGTACTCTTGTAAGAACTGAGGTTCCTCCTTAGCCGTACTGTCTCCCGGAATGTGTGTACATAAGTGGGAAACCTCCCCCACTAATACCTCTGAGGGCATTTCTCATGTGGATTACAAGATGGATCCAGACAAACTATGTATACCTAGCCCGATCAGGTAGCCCTCTAGAACAAAATCAGTAGCGCGGTCATCATATTTAAATTGGATGTAGGAGGGACGCCCCTCTATGCGGTCATAGTTGACCTGTACAGGTACAAGCCTGTGTGAGGAACAAATGGACGACACCATAGTGCGTTGAGTGTATGAGAGAGTCGCACTCTGTAAAATGTGATCGCACTCTGAGTCCGCGTTCCTTCTATGAGAATGAGTCACTCGGAGCATGTCCTCTATATCCAGCTCAGTATCGGGCCGAGGTTGAGGGAGGGCCACGCCCTCTAATAATGAATCAGTGTCCAATTCAGTAAATGAGAGGGGTTCGCCCTCTACTCTTGAAAAATAAAAATATCAGTCTCGGGCTGAGGTGAAGGAGGGCCGCACCCTCTGTAATCTAAACCAGAGTCCAGTAGAGACTCAGGGTGACCAAACGTGGGGTTACACCCTTATTTAATATAAGCAAAGTATACAACCTCGGGCCGTGTCCGACCTTAAGAGAAAGGGGTGATGAGAAAAGTACATTTCAGAGCTGAAGATGGTAACTATCAACGGACCGCCCGGATCCCGTGCGTGCGCGCGGGCTCCAGGATGACCGTCGGTAGTCTGAGGAAAGCTGGAGACGTTCTCCGCAATCCACAAGTGCCCGGGAGGTCGGAGGAGGTCAAGTCAGGCCTCTCGATGACCCGAGCAATAGGACAATAGAAGGCACGAAAACAAAGAAACGACCAATGAAGTAGAAAGTGGAAAATACGTACCTCGGAAAGCAGGTCGGATAGCAGAACTGGAAAAAACGAATCAAGTGAATCAAGTTGAAAAGGTCAGGAGCTAAACAGGACATAGAAAAACACTACCAATACCTAATATGGCGTCTGAGCACTGTTCCCTGCTTGTGCGAAATTCCCATTGGAGATGTGTCGTCGTTGGGTA